ATATCAAATACTTTATATATATATATATATATATATACACACACACACACATATATATACATACATATATACATGTGTGTATATATATATATATATATATACACACACACACACACACACATATATATATATATATATATACACATACACACACAGACATTTATATATATATATATATATATATATATATATATATACATACACACACAGACATTTATATATATATATATGTATATAAATATAAGAAGTTAGGATCATAAATAGCCCTAACCTATTTATATACACACTTTCTCCAACTACTCAAGCAGCATAAATAAACAATTTAGCACAGCTGTTTAAAATGCTTGTTTTGTCATATAGGAAAATCCAACATGGCACTTGAACAAAATATTCGGTGATAAAAATCTCATTCACCAGTAACATTTTAACACCTCATAGAATTCAAAGTTCTCAAAGCAAACCTCTGCCAAACTGTTTTCCTGAATCCTTGATGACTTGGCTGTCCGAAAATGACAACATCATGATGAAATAATGGAAACTGACCATGGAAACCACAATTATGTGCAACAAGTTTTTGATCAATCAGTTAAATTCTAGATGTCTTTGGGTCATGTTATAGGATCCAGCCAACTATTGTTTGCACATAGAATTATTCACTGGTAATTAATCTTTGATTTGGCTGTGGTTCGCATTAAAAAATGATGGCCAATTTTCTGAGAAAAATCATTTTTTTATGAAAAATATTTTTTTCACTTCAAAACAATTTTTTTCAAACTTCAATCCTTTCTCTTTAAGTTGATGTGAACATCTTTGAATAAAAGGAACTGCTATATGGCCCGACAATGGGAAATATGAAAGACATGCAGCAAAAAAAAACAATGTTGTCTGCTAAGTGTTGTTGTCATCACCCAGGTCCTGAGGTGTTAAAAAACAAAACAAATCACATCAAGCCATTGTTCAAACATAGGTTTGAAAAAAAAAATAACCCATATCAAGCCCTTTGTACCAATGTTACCCCTTTTTTCACTCTTTGCTCTTGTAAGTGGTGGGATTTATTACAAACTGATGACCACTTGTTCTAATGTTTATCAATGGCTGGCAAGCCTTTAACCCAGACATTGTCAAAGTCAATTTGACTTAATTTTCTTTATCACTGCTAGTTTTTGAAAAAAAGACCCTAAAATTCCCTGGTTTCTGGTTGTCAGGAATTGCAGGTAAATCTCTTGCCTTTTTTTCTAAATTTTTTTAACCCCTTGTGGCCATATAATTGAAAATTACCATTGGACTTTGTTGCATTTTGACTTCCTATGAATGTTGTTTTCCTTCAAAATCTCAATTTTAAGCCTGAAATAGTTAGATTATGATTTGGGCTTTCTGATTTTCCAAAAAAAAAAATGTTTAATTTCCTATTATTGGGGAAAATTATTGTTTAGAACTAGAAAAAATGCAAAATGTCACTATTTTTCCACATATTACCCCCTGAAAAAACTTTTGAGTCATTTACACTAGCCAATTTTACTTTTAAATGAAAGAAAATATTGTTTGCTTTTAGAAAATACCTAGTTTCATGGGGTTCAGATCAAAAGTTTCCTTGATATTTTGTTCAGATGCTGACAAAAATCATTTTTTTTTTCAATATTTTACCTTGTCTTAACCCCATAAAAGTATGAAAATCCATTTTTTTCAAAGAAAATAAGCTGTGACAAAATAGCTTTTGCCATTTTTGTGATTTTTACTTGGGATAGAAAATTTTACCATAGCAAACCTGAATTGATATTATTTAAGTTTAGTGGGGCAATAGAAACCTACAAACAGCTGTCTTAGAGGGGCTGATTGTAAATAAACCTAAGGATTAGTTCTAAATTAAACAACTTCCTCCCCCCCCATTTCCCTTAACTTCCCAGTAACCTATATATACAGCTCACTATAAAAGCAGTGGCATTTGGTCTGAAGGATTATTCATTATCTTTATAATCTTCACTTCTTACTACATATTCTTTCTTTCATATCACACACCTCCTTCATCATAACCATTTTAATAGTAACTCTCTACCTTGGATGACTCTTAAGGCTTTTGTGAATTTTAGTGTTAAAATTTATTAAATCTGAATATCATCTTTTGTCGCCTCTTCAACAGTGTTTATATTATACAAAGTCCAAAGTACATGAAATATTAGTTCACAGACTTATTCTTTCTAAACCATTTGACTTGCTTGAGAGTTTCAACAGTAAAGAACATAAAAAATGCAAGAATAACACAACCCCCAAAGTAATAAGAAAAATGATTCAGGATATAGAAAATCTGTATTTCATTTAAATGGTGGGTAAGTGAATGACAAAATTAAAACAAATTCCATGTTTTATTTTTCAAGAGGATTTCTTTAAGCTAAATAATGTTTTTACTGATGGGTGCACATATATGTGAGGTGGTGGGGAGAACAAAATACAAACAGATGGCGATAATTATGCATTGAGAGAAGCGCTGAAAATACAGTGATGCTTAACATTAAATTTTAAATTTCTAGTCTCCGATATGTCTAGAGGAACAACCTTGCCCACCTCATTCAGTTTCCTATTACTTTTATTCTATTGTTTTGAAATATTTTGTATTGTAATAGCAGTAATTCTGTTAAAAGTGACATGCTGTATGAACCTGGATGTAAATTTATCATAGAAGACTTGGAAGTCAGTGCACTTTCTATACATTATCATCTTAATAAATTACCTCCGCTTTTAATTAAAACTGCATTATTTAGATGGAAATCTCAATCATTATAAAAAAAGCAGTCTAGAAAATCATGACCATAAATTGGTCAAAGCATTAGTCTTAACCAAAACAAGTGGTAAGGGTCAGATTCCTCTTCCCTTATTTCTTGTAATCCCCCAGTGATCTATATATACAGCTTGTTATAAAAGTAGTAGCACTTAGTTTGAAGGATTAGGTTTTATCTATGTGGGAAATAAAAAGAAAACAGCAACCAGTGAATAAATTCAAGCTCTCCCAGCTGGTATTCCAACCTTGAGTCGTTCCTTCTTGAGTTCTGTCTCAAAATCGCACTAACAGACTTTTCTAGCCACCAACCGTGAACGTCACTCAAAGAACTCCTCCACTGGGAAAAAGTAGTTGCTTTTATATTTGTCCATATACCCATAATCCCTTGCGTCTTCATGTGATCCCATAATTCATTGCGTCCATGTACCATAATGCATTGCATCTTTATTGCATAAAAATGCAATGCAAGTCCCCCCTCATTCTTTTATGTTATCTGGCCGAGGACGGATTACGGCAGAGCGGTAAGTGCTTTTTTCTTTCTCATTTCAACTGCAGTAGCTTTACATGCTAAGCAAATATGGGCTCTTTTTTGGCGGGGACAAGGCAAGTAGCAACCAGTTGTGCTCATCCCAGGTTCTGTCTCATCATGTCTGCCACACCTCTTTATCCTCATAATCTTCACTACCTACCATCTCTTCTTTCATTCATATAATACACTTCATTCATCATTACCATTTTAACTGTAACCCACTACCTTGAGTAACTCTTGAGGATTAGAGCATAAAAAAAAATAATTGGTCTTGTTAATTTTGGAACCCAAGAAAGAAATTATATTAAATTAAAATATGGATTTTATGATTTTTATCTTTTAATTGGTATCACCCCAAGCAAGGCATTGATGCCACTAAAACATAAGAGATTACAGGGTGTAGAAGAATTAGGAACAGAAACATTAATGATGAGCAGAAAGAGAAAATAGTACTCAGGAGGATAGTAGATAGCGACATTGTATTTAAATTTTTGCACATTAAAGTTGGCTGGAAGGCAAGGAGCTGGAAGGGAGTTCCACATGTGAGAAGTATGAGAGAAGAAACTGTTAGCTTAGAATTTACGGCTACATCTAGCCAGCTTAACTTTAAATTTGAACATTGTGGGGCATTGTTGAACCAAATGATTCTTACTCTAATTATTTGGTTGATTTTACAACATATCAGCACTTGTTTGGTTATATAATATTGAAATAACTTGCTTTTAAATTGCTGTGTCTATAAGCATTTTTAGGATTCGGAGAATATGGTTTATTTTTTTGATCTTTGAGCATTTACTTGCTTCAGGAAGAGGCAAAACTTTGTCGGTTATTTTGGAGTCTATAAGCATTTATTTGATTCAGGAATATGTAAACATTTGTCGTTTACTTTTGAATTTGTAAACATTTACTTGGTTAGGGAATAGGTATATTGTTGTGGTAGGATCCACTTAATTTGCATAGTGGAGTACCGACCATATAAATATGGTTGGTACTGGGAAGACGAGGGAAGGAATCAAGAGATTCGATCCAGAGACTCTGCCCGACTGCGACTAAGTCAACACATTCTCCAGGAACGGTCTTCCCAAGAATATACAAAAGACTATATGTAAATATTGTGTACACTTTCTTGTTTCAATACATTTTGTTGTAAGTACATTTTGTGTTGTATTATTATTCCATGCATTAGTCAAGTTTCAACATATATATATTTCATTTAAATTGGTATCTATTAGCATTTATTTTTTATTTTTATTTTTTTTTAATTGGGATCATCCCACGCAAGGCAGTAATGCCACCTGAAACTCAAGGGGATAATAGTGTGCGAAAGAATTAGGAAGAGAAACAATAATGATGAGCAGAAAGAAAAGAGTATAATCAGGAGGACATTAAATAGTGATTGACATTGCATTTAAATTTTTGCAGATTAAAGTCGGCTGGAAAGCAGAGAGCCGGAAATGAGTTGCATAAGTGAGAAGCGTGAGAGAAAAAACTGTTAGCTTAGAATTTACAGCTGCATTTAGCCAGCTTAACTGTAAACTGATGATCTTGATGCCAGTCTAGTGCCGTGCTTAAATTCAAAATCCCTAGGTGCTATAGTGAAGAGCTCATTCGAAAAATATGTAACAAAAAATGTTTGTCAATGCTTTTAACAATGTATAAATTTCTTATTTTGATATATATTTTTTAAATTCTTTCCAGAGACGAGAACACAAGCCCCTTAGAAAGTATTCAACACAGACTCATTTACATGTAAGTATAAATGTTTGATTTTTACCAACCTTGTTGTAACACAAAATATTAGGACCAACAAAATATAACAAAACACTGTTAAATATATTTTGAAAAATAACAATATTCGTTTTCATTCTTACTGACCAGTATAACAGAAGGATGGGGTTGAATAAACAATTCACTGTCTACAGGTGGTGGATTGTTCAGCAGCCATGTTGTTGTCTCATACTACACATTTTTTCTGTGAAGACTCAATGATTTGTTAGGGGAGAGTTGTCTCCCCAAACAAACCTGAAAAGCATTTACTTTCATTATTGAAGGAGAAAGTAGAATGTCAGAAATGTGATATATAAAATTGCAGTCTCTGCTTGTTCCTTGTTTCCTTAGTTAGTTACCATGTGTGTTATGCCCTGCCATTGCCTCAGATAAAGAATGGACCATTCTTGTTTGATTGTAAGGATAGATGGTAGAAAAAGATATATTAAAGCACTTTGGGTTTTAAGGAAAGAAAGGAAAGATTGAAGTGGTGATAACACTGTCATATGTTTAATGCTTTAATAAAATAGAAAACATTTTCAATTTTTAATCTCTTCATTTCTATTATTTTACTTAATGACCAGCACTAACATGTCTAATTTGGAGATTGGAGGTTTTGAGATGGGTGGAACCACCTCTTAGTTGCTGTTGTTCCCAGGTAAACCCTGACCCAGAGTGGTAGCACCTGTTAGGGTCCCAGCTATAGACAAATGGTGAACCTCCAAACAAAAAGAAAACACTATGAAATTATAAGAATACATTTTTATAGTAAAATTACCAGCAATGCATTTTATCTGTGCTTGAAGGTATGCAATTGTGTTCAATTGTGTTGAAGCCATAAAATTGTGTTCAAATTATTTAGATTTTTGCATTAAATAACCCATAGAGGTGTTGATATGCCACTAAACAAAATCAACCAACATAAAAGAACTCTTTCATGACATTAAATCATATAATATTCTACAATATTTTAAAGAAATCAAACTTTATTCCAAAATATAACTTCAATAAAATCACAACATAAAACACACATATCACCACCTGTAGTAATAATGTCCACACAAACATGTATGTGAACAAAATCTGAGTATCATCTACCATGCAATCAATTGTGAAAGCAAAATAGCATATATCATATTTTTATTACTTCAATGCACACAAGAAAATTAAATTTCAGCATTAAATGACCCATAAGAAGTTGATTGTTATTACGATATTTTGTTAAAGTTTTGAAGTTAAAATATTTAATTACAGGTGATAGAGAAATTGCTATGGATATTTTATAGTCATGGAATTTATTTTATCATTGACCTAAAAATTAAGATTCACCAGAAATCTCAAATAGAAAAAACTGTGAAAACTCTATTATTATTATTATTCCATGGGTACTTCTATTATTATTATCGATCAATTCTTATATGTGTGTGTGTGTGTGAAATGTGTGTATATATATATATATATATATATATATATATATATATATATATATATATAATCTATTATATATATTATATATCCACAGTACTTATTGGAAAACGCTCAATATCAGTGATAGAACTAACATATTTAGTTGGATTGATGTGAGTTTGTGACCCTAGGTTTCATGCTTTTGTGATTATCAGACAAACTCTGTATTAGTTTGTCTGATGATTGCAAAAAAGTGAAACCCAGGGTCACAAACTCACATCAATCCAACTATATATATACACATACACGTACATGCACAAATCGAGGGCCTACTAATGATATTACCATATATAATCACACATCAAAAACATTGTATTACATCACTGACCTATATTGAATCTATATTGATCGCTTTTGCGATCATCAGACAAACTCTGTATGAGTTTGTCTGAAGATCACAAAAGTGTGAAACCCAGGGTCACAAAATTACATCAATCCAACTATATATATATATATATTAAAGACATTTTTTTATGTTTAACGTTGTTATTTATAGAAAAACATAAAAAAAAATGTCTTTAATAAATAAATTGTCGGACCTTGTCGATTTCTTAACATATATATATATATATATATATATATATATATACACAAATTGAGGGTCTACTAATAATATTACCATATATAAATACACATCAAAAACATTATATTACATTACTGACCTATATTGAATCCATATGATTATCTAAAACAAATGCTGTGTACTTACAACATTTCTAAATCATGTGAAAAACCAAAAAACATAATGTCTACTAGACACTCATACACATGCACACACACACGTATGAATATACATTGTCATCTGAATCCCATATAGGTAGACTAGAATTATTATACATCTACATACAAAAAGCAATATTTACAGTTTTTCCAGGGCTTGGAATTCGTTAATTTCTTGAGACTTTGAATGGTTGAATGGTTGTGTTGTCTGTCCTTGAATTTAGAACACCACAAATTATACTAACATTGGTTTAACAAGTTGAATGCACATGAAATCTCATTAATCAAAGAAAATCAAACAACACAAAAGTAAAAATACCAAAATTTCTTTCTTATTTTTCTCCATATCTCATTCTTTGATGAAACTTTAATAAAAGTGAAAAATGTTAGATTGGCAAATGTTTCTTATTTGTTCTTTATCTTAGAGCTTGCGCTCTCTCTCTCTCTCACACACACACACACACACACACACACACACACACACATATATATAGCGAGACACTTCGCAGATGCGAATTGAGTCACTGTCGGTCACTGGGCGTGTTTCTAAAAATAAATACGCTAAAAATCCACTTTCATCCATATCGCGCGCCGACAGCTTAATGGTTAGAATCTCCGACTGACACCAATTCAGTCGGGTTTCGATCCTAGCTAGAGACAACCAGATGTCTAGCCACACTGATGAGCTGTGAAACAGCGAAACAGTCTGTCTGTGGATGACGTTATATATATATATATATATATATATAAGTCCTTGCATACATATTAAGAAATTCCTCTTAAGCACATATGAGGCTGGAAAAAAAAATGTAATTCAATTAACCCCTCACCGATACTTTTATGATACACTTGCATTTCTTCTCTTCTCCCTTCTTCACATTACACCCAACAATGTGTTTTTATTTATTTTTTTAAAAAATAATATAGCGTTCATTAGTTTTTTTGTTTTTTTTTAAATAGAGTGTTAGGAGGTCAATTGATAAAAATTGCGTGAGGATACCAGAAGGTTGAAACCAATGTAGTGGATTTAACTGATCTCCTGATTTTAAAACTATATATATATATATATATATATATATATATATATATATATATATATGTGTGTGTGTGTGTGTGCATATTTAGGCAGTATATTTTCATTCAAGCATGTTTGGTTCAATAATTTAGACATATTATGTCTTTATTTTAGTTTTAAGCTTTTCAAGTCCAAGAATTAATTTCTTGGTGGGTGTAGAAAATCGATTAAGAAAAATTCCAAAATTTTCTTTCAATAATTTTTTTTTCCCCAAGTTCTTTCAATCAGGTTGAATATATATATATATATATATATATATATATATATATATATATATATATATACCCCCATAGAAGTCTTTTATTTTTGATGTTCTTTAATGCACAAATTAAAAATATAATTGATATATTTATAATTAAGTAAAAAAATAATTATAAAACAAATTTTGGAAATGTTTAAAAGTTATTTACATGTGGAATATTGTCCTTGTTTTTGTTGTTGTTATTATTTTTCAGCTGTTGTGCACTTTGGCCTTCATCTTTCAGTCTTGGTAACCTAAAGGGAATTCTGAAGAGAACCCTTTATTTAATCTACAGGGGTAGACTATTCTTGTTCCACTACCCATGTCTAGAGATATCTCATCTCGTTCTTAGTACTAGACAAGCTATACCTAGACATGGGCAGTGGAATGGGAACAGTTTATCTCTGCAGATTAAATAAAGGGTTAAGTTCAGAAATCCCAGTAGGATACCTGAATTGACATACACCTAATGAAGGTCAGAGTGCACAACAGCCAAAACATTGTGATATCAACAAGGATTAGAACAATAATCTGCATGTAAATAGGGTATATAATGATAAATCCTCATTCCAGAAATCCAAACAGAAATTATGTTTAAATGTATTTAATTTTATTTTAACAGTGGATTCCATTCTAGCATCTCACAATGAAGCTGATGTTACTTTCTTCATGTTTTCTACTATGGATTCTCTGCTTACAAGTAAGTACATTCAGGCTAAGAACAACCTTCATATATTCCCAACATCAAAAAATATCAATACATTATCATAAGTATATACAAGGATTGTATTATACATATCAATGTTTTTACAAAGTTATTAAACAACCAGTGTTTGTAATATTTTTAGGATATATCTATGTAAACAATATAACAAGTAATTTCTAGTTTCTGTTTATCTTTTACAGATTAAGGTTTTGTGTGTGTCATCACTTTACATAAGTAGAACAAAACTGCCTTCATTGTTAATACTTAATGAATGTTTGACAGCTTTATATTTATATATATTTAAGGATACAGAAGGTGCTTATCTCCCTTTGGTGGAAATAAGTCATGTGATGACTGCTTAATGATATCACATCATACAGTGATTAAAAGGGCAGTCAATTTTCATTTTGTTTTACAGCAGCCAAAGTGAAAGGTTGTTTCTTTAGCCTAGGCCTCACATAGCTCAGGCAGAGGCTAAATCTGCTTCACCTGCAGCTTACAAGCCATGATGCCATTTTTCTTTGGGGATATATCTTTCTCAGATACAGAAAGAAACTCTAGCTCACAGTCCTCAATTTGGGAAAACCCAAGACTTGCTGTTTCCTATTTGTGAAATGTGTCCTTGCTTGGGACATAGATGAATCCAGCCTGTTTGAATCTGGAGTCCTAAAAATGGCTTCTCCAGAGACAGAACTATCTCCCTCCATATTATATGCAAAATTCTTCCTTTTCGTTTCTCCTTACACTCTACTTTGCTGTGTCAGTATATGTAATATATTTTTCTCTGTGTGGGACATATATATATTCATTCATAGCAAGTGAACAATTCATTTAGAAATCTAAATAAATTGTTCACTTGCTAGTAATTTACAATTGCCTGATGAAATCAGAAACATGAATGCAATTGTGTAACAATTTTGACATGTTTTTGATGTGATATCCTAAAATAAATAATGTTGCTTTACTTTGTATTGAGCCCTCTTTTAAATTAAATATTACAAATAGTGGAATTGTACTTTATTTGTTTTCATCTTACCTGGATATATATATATATATATATATATATATATATTAGTCTTATGTATGTCTTAGTAGTATAAAAATCTCTCTGGTATGTTGTTTGTAATTTCTTTTCCTTTTCAGCCATTCCATTCCATCAATCAACTACAGTGTTATTAAATCATGGATATAATAATGACTGTAATGGGGGAAATACAAATGAGAGAATAAATCTTTCATCCATAGCCCTCTCCAGTTTTATATATATATATATATATATATATATATATATATATATATTAAGACATTTTTATGTTCATACATTCTTTTTATAGATACAAATATTTAAGTAAATAC